CTAACTGTGACACCAATATGAACATTTCATGACTGTGCAATAGAGAAACCTCATGGACTTCGCCTGAGACAGAGGAGTCATCATGGGTGATACTTGCCATATGCGTATGCTGACTGTAAGATCTGAGTGCTCTACATGTGGCAGGCTTTCTGAACTTTTACTGTCCTTTTTAAAGAAAGTGTTTTTCTAGGTTTTTATCCACAGCATGTGCACCCACTACTGTATTTCCAGATTCTCCTGGAGCAATGAGAAATCCGTTCAGTATGTTCTCAGTCCCCATCTCCTTCCCTTTTTGTTTTTTAAAAGAATCTTATTTAAAGTTTCAAGCAATAAATGGCAACAGCAGGAAAGAAAGCAAAACGAGAAGCACAACCCTTGACACTTTAGAGGTGGTGAGAGTCAATACCCGTTTTGCTTTTTCTCCAGCTTTCCTCCCCCCTCTTTGTTTCATGTTTCAGGGAGCAAACAGCCAGGGTGGGAGGGAGCTCCTTTCCCAGGATACTGTTGCACAGCCAGGTGAAAATCCCCTCTCTCCTGCTCTGTCCTCTGAAGTGTCAGGTATTGCCCACAACGGTAACTGGATACCAAATTAGATGGACCGTGGCTCTATTCAGGTGTGGCATTTCCTGTACTTCCACGTTTGCCTTTGTACTGGATGTGCTTTTAGCTAAAGCAGGGAGCCTTAAACGAAGCTATCAGGCTCCCCTGCTGAGCTATTATACTCCCATCTGTTATTTAAGAACAGCCCTAGAATACTTGAACATGTCCACAATCCTCATCCAAGTTACTTCCCACCAGATGACACTGTAACTGCTGGACTGTACACCAAAAACCTGACAAGCGCAGCTCCAAGCTGCCTCTCCTCCCCGGCTCACCCCAGGCGTTTCTGCCGTGTGCAATGTGCGTGTGTGGCAAAGTGGTCTCGTCCCGTGCTTCGTGGCTTGCTCTGTGCGTGTGGTCGCCCCAGCCAGCCTGCCTGTGCGAAAATTGGTTTCTCGCTCTTGCGTTGAGTTGCTGTGTCTGCAGGGAGTTCAGAACATGCTGCTCTCCTTGTCTCTTGACCTCTTTATTTTTTTTATATGTAATACGTGTGGGAAATGGCAATAATTTCCAGAAGATCTCGTGAATGTGAAAGAAAACCTGCGATGGTTTTTATGGAGTGTAAGAATAATAAAAGAAGAAAAAAAAATGCCAGGAAAAGAGAGCTATGTGTCATACTTGGAGTGAGCTGGGGCTGCACATATGCTTTGGTTGGGCTCAGCGGCAGGGGGGGTCATCCGAGAAAAATGCCGCGGCCCAAAGAGCTGCGAGGCGGGAGCAGGGGAGGGTGAGCACCAGCGGGTTCAGTGCCGGGGCCACCAAGGGAGAGTGGAGTGGGGGGTCTTTTTTTTTTTTTTTAAAACAGAATGACATGAGTCATGGTGGCGTCACTTCCCGGCGGCCGGGCAGCCGCTTCTGTTTTGATTCATGTGTGTTTTTATATAAGATTTGCCATCTTGCCGAAGATGAAAATCTGAAGCAGGCACAGCCCCCACTTCCTCCGCTGTGCGCCCGCGGCAGGACGCTGCAGCCTGAGCCGGGTGACTCGAGCGGCTGTGGGCACCACCAGGCACCTGCGAGCATCAAGCGAGGGGGCCGGGGCATGCAGGGCACCCCATGCTGTGCTCCCTGTGGGCACTTTCCTCCTCCTGCCTTAGTGCAGAAATTCATGTGAAGCTCTAGCATCATAATCTGCTCTCCCAAGCTCTCAGGCTGCGGGGGGAACCATGCTGGATCTTTGAGTGAATTGCATCCCCCGACCAGGTGGTGGGGAAAAGGCCTCTTGGTTCCTCTTAGTCCCCAAGCAGAAATGCCACTGGGCTCATGTTGGGGAGAGAGGTCACATCCCAGGCTCAGAGACCTGCAGCCTTGGCAAACAGCAATGGACTGCGCAGCTTCCAGCAGCATAAAACACCTTTGCAGTGGGGAGTCGGGGCATCACACCAGCTTTGCAGCCAAAGGATGAGGAGCTGAAACCCTCTGAAGGGTCAGTGATGTTTTATAGTGGGATTATACAGCGCACAAGGCAGTGGGCTGAGGGGGTTAGTGGAGGCACTGCCACTCTTGCCAGGTTTGGGCATTTAGGTGGGCAGAGACAGTAGCTGGGAAAGACCAAAGCCGGGCAGAGCAGTCAGGGTTTTAGCAGGGAAGGGAGATAGCTGCTGTGTTTTAGGAGGGGGGCTCTGACCCCTTTCTCTAGCACAATGTGGTGGTGGTGGTGGTGGTGAGGAGCAGTGGCAGAGGGAGGATTCAGCAAAAGATGTAGGTGCAGGTCCAGAGCCCTGAGGTAGTCTGAGGAGGGGTTGCTGTTGTGCATGGGCATGCAAGTACGCAGTGTGTGCTCATGCCCCAGTGCAATCCCCCTTGCTCGGGTAGGCGCTGTGCTGGGTGCCTAGGTGCAGCTCATCCCAGGGTGCCAGGAGGTGCAGGAGACCCAGCACCCGCGGCAGAACGAGATGTCGATGCCCCTGATGGGAGGTGTTCCCACACGTGCTGAGGCCTGTTTTGCTGTTTCAGAGCTAACACGAGCCCTGACCCCTGGTTTAGCTCTCCCCTGGGCCCACTTGGCAATTGCCACCTCTCTGCAAAGACGTTGCAGCCACCAGACGGCAAGGCTTTTGAGTGGGAATATGCGCTCGCCTCGCTTCCTGGCCGTGCTCCTTCAGTGGGCAGGAAGGAGATGCGGACATGATGTGAGGAGGCCGAGCGTGACAAAGGCGTGTGGCACTTACTTGGGAGATGGGACGTGTGAGCTTGAACCCCTGCAGGCAGGGCAGGAAACCCAGCTGTCCCCTCTCAGGCAGCAGCACACTCAGCTACCTCTCACCGCAGGGGAGAAACAGCCCTGACGATGCTTTGTGGGCTATATGGAGTGAATCCACCCAACTGAGTACAACAGAGGACTTAGGGGGCTCTTATAGCCCAGCTGGCTTAGGTTTTGGGTAGCTCACAGCCAAGGATGGAAGTTCAGATCATGGAGATGCCCATAACCCCCAGTGCATGGGGAACACCTAAGCTGAAGGATAAGGCCTGATAGCATTGCTGGTGGTTGAACTGGCTGGTCCACGTGCCTGTGTCCATCGGCCAACAAAGCTTGGCAGGGGAGTAGAGAACTCAAAAAATTTTGATGGATTTGATGGAAAATAGAGACCCAGCTAGCTGTAACAAGGGGAAGGCTTAAAGCAGGATGTTATTAGGCATCAGAAAATCCAAGTGCAAAAAAGAGGCCATGAACGTTATACCCTTAGGCAAAGCTTTGATTAGCGCTTATCCCTTAGGCTGCCTGCATCCAAAGAAGATGAGAGGAATTGTCACAGAAAAGGGGCTTTTGCAGCTTCTGCCGCCCGTGGTTCAGGGCTGCGTTGGGACCTAAGCGCCTCTCTCCACTGACACTTCTGATGGCTCAGCCCTGGTGTGCTGGGCTCCTCGGCGCCAGGCAGGAGCTGTTTCTGATCCCGGCGTGAACATGCACCAAGCAGTTCCAGTGCCATGCAGCCTTTGGTCCGTGCTTTTAGCCTTGCAAACAGCTGTAGTGTTGGAAGCGCTGCTATTTGGCCTTTGTCTCTGGGCTGCACAGGCTCCCTTTCCTTCTGCCTCTGAGACAAACAAACTCTTTGAAAACCTGCGTCAAGGAATAAATGTCTCTGCATGACTGCAAATCAGACTGCAAAGAGATACGGGGAGTACTTTTTGTCCCTAAGTGATACCTGTTCTTTCAGTCTGTGCATTGGCTGGGCGGTTTTACGGCTTGTGCAGATAACAAAGACTTTTCCTGTGTTTCTGATAAAGAGGTCTTTTAAACGGCAGAAAATATCCTGTGGCAGAATCTTTTCTTTGAAATGTGTGGTTTGTGTATCTTCACCCCGGGCAACATAGACTGGGGATATAGAGTTGAAGCTGACCAGTAAAATCTGGGTAACATTCACGATGCCTGAGCTCTACTAGGAGATTATACCCTGTTACCCCTCCCCAGACACAATCCCAGAGCCACCCAAGTCAGTGATTCTTAATTTCTTGCTTTCTGGTGGAGAACTTGTTTTCAGGAAACAAAGTCTGAATGAAGAAGGTAATCCGCAGACATTGTTGTTTGTATGTTAAAAATAACACTTGCCTTGCTGGGAAGTCAAAGGACCAAATGTGCTCTGCAACATGGTGAAAGTAAATGGAGCTCCAGGCAGGACGAATTTGACCTAACGGTTCTACTTTTCACAGGTTTAAGCTAATTGGAAAGGAGACACAATGCCAGCTCACTTTCTCTGGGGAGAAAAAAAGGCAGGAACCAATATGAAGAGCCACATAAATATGGAAGTAGGATTTTTTTGGCGTGGGAGGTGTTACCACTACCACACGTTACAGTTCCTCGGCTTTATCACATCATAAGCTTTCACCGAGACATGAGTAAGTTCTCTAAATAAGGAATATGAAAATAGCTTGTGAAATAGGTTGAGTCATCAAAGAAAATCAAATAAAGTTTGGACACCAGGGCCTCAGTTGTAAAGCCCTGCTTTGTTTTACAGCTACGTTGTAAACTGTGGCGTTATTCCAATCTGTTTGTTTCAGCCTCAGAATTCAAAGGACTCCAACATCTAAGTGACATTAAGGCTTACCAAAGAGATTCATTTTCCTATCAGCAGCAGCACTGCATCCCTCCTGCCTCGAAACACGCGCAGGCTGTGCAGGCACATGCAGGGAACGGAAAGGTTACCAAGCGCGTGGACTTCTCCAGCTACAGCTGAAGTGTTCAGCACTTGCTTCAGCTCTGCCCAGCTATTTACAGCCCGTGGCTCTCCCTTTCAGGCGCTAGCTCACCCCATTGAAGTCACTGGCTGCTACTGGCAGCTCCTGTGGGCCCTGGCAGGACCCCCTTGTGCCAGGAGCTGTGCAAACCCCAGACAAAACCAGAGAGGCAGTCATCTAAGACCAGGAGAGACCATGGTGCATAAGGAGGAGAGAAAGGAGCATGAAGAATCAGTGGGGCAACATTGCTTGAGGACGCCCACCTTCCTATCGGGGATTTCTGCACACGCCAGAAAGCAAGCCAGCGTTTCTGGGCCCCGTTGGATCTGCTGTACGTGAGCACAAGTGGGGAAGGCTGGCAGCATAACCCCAATGGGTGCTGAAGCCCAGGGCTTACAGCACCCGGCTGCGTGATGCAGGGTCCCTGCCCCAGCCCCATGTGACACACTTGCTGCGGTCACAACCAGGCTTTTTCAACGCACAGCAAATAAAGGAGAGGTGTCTCATCCATTGGGACTGTTGGCTGGTCAGAAACACTAAACAAAACTGATAAAGTCTTCAAAAGTCTTCAGCACAACCATTTTCCAGACTTGGATGAACTGAGCCATTCGTGTCAGTAGCTACTCACGTGAGTAAGGGCTCATTGGACCGGGCTCACGTCTCCCAAGGGAGATGATAATGTAGTTTTTCATGGGCTCTCTTTTCTCTTTTTTTTAAATGAATAGTGGTTTATTTCTGTCAGACAGAGATACTCCATTTCAGAGACTTCTTTGTAAAGCAGACAGCATTTGATAGTGAGTCATCTCTAGTTATTAAATTGCCCATACATTGCGAGCTGCCTCCAGGCCCTGGTCCAAAGCCTATTGACTTCAGTGGGAAGGAGGACTGCTGAATACCACAGGCTTTGGATCAGGCCCGGGCTGACTCTTGACTTTAAATCTTTATTTTAAGGAACTGTCTGTTCTAACTGGAACTAAAATTGCTGCTGCATTGAAATGGAAGATCGGACTCAAACTGGAACACCGGGTAAAGCTGAATATCTGCTCTAACGCCTCCAATAACGTTAAGTCAAGTTAACTGGAAAATCAGTTGACATGAATTCCAGCATGGCCATTAACTGCTATCCGGTCGAGCCCTGAGCAGATGGCTAAGCTGAGGCAGATTTCTAGTAGGCAATGGAGCACAGGTGAGCCTGGTAGTCTCCCAGAGACGCGTTCAACCCTGACACCTGTGGGTTCCCTGGCAATGCTCAAGTTGCCCTGAGTAATTACTGCAGCAAACGGAGAGACCAGGGGGTCAGGCAGGCTAGGATCAGCTCTGGAGCCTGCTTCTGGCTTTTCATGGCGAGTGATGTAGTCTGTGCTTGATACTGCCTGGGGCACAGTTATGTTTGTCAAAAGCGTAAAGGAAGTGAGTGAGACCTCAACTGACCGAGCTGACCAGTTGGGTGCCTTTGAGTATAAAAGGGCTGTACCAGCAGAACTGTATTTTCCCCAGTACATCTCCTTTCTCCTGCAGAGGATGTTTCTACTCTGCCGGTAAGAAGCAGAGCTTTGCTGATATGGCGCTGCTCATGCAGGAAGCGTTTTGCTGCTACAGCGGACCAGACTTTCCCACCAAGGAAAGTGCTCCTCACAGGCTAATCCGTCTGCCTCTGCATCCTGCCTTGCATCAGGGAATGATATTGATCTCCTTCTGAAAAAGGCATAAATAAGGCTTTGTTCCTATGTTTGCAATGCACGTTAGACCCATGGACAAAGGATGTCCTGGGCACAAAATCTTGTTACTGTGATGTATTTATTGTATTCTGTGCTTGTGAAGCCATATGTTCCATATTACAAGAAAGGGTTTAATTTTCTTCCCTTAGGGTATAATGTTTTACTTAGTTAAAAACAAAACCCAGCCAGCAGCCCTCGCCCGGGGTGGGTGGCAAGCGCT